GACGCAGAGTGGTGGTGGACGAGCATTGATTTCATTTGATGGTGAATGACAAGGACAAAGCCATAAGTAGTTATTGGTGGTTGACAACACTGGGAATATCTACGTGCACAAATACATCGTAGGGAGAGGACCTCGAAAAAATCATAAGAAAACGACGAAAAACTCTGATACGATGAACCGACCGATGATGGATTGACCAGTCAGACTTGAATGTCGAAACCTCGTGTGACGTCCACCAAGAGTTTTGGTAGCGTCGCCAAACGCTCTTTTCTTTACATGCATAGGTTGCGAGAGAGAAAAAAACTTGATTTATAAAAGTTATGTGCTAGCCTATGGGAGGAAAATGAGCAGAAATGAAATGGGATTTAATTCCAGGGAACGACTCCAAGGATAATATAATCCCGGAATTGAAAAGAGTATTAACTGTGCAAAAGAACCCACTATTTACCATCCGCAGAGAGATATGATGTGCAGAAAGTGCAGAAAAACTTGGGGTACAAACTCGTTCTCCTCCTAAACTATTTATTTCTACCGTTGAATGACTCGTTGAGCAAAGACTGAACCCTACGAACCGAAGTAGTCGTAACAATAATACGCATCAAACGCTGTCCTCCGATAGACGACGATAACTTGGTGACATTTCTTTGGACGAAAACATTGCTTTCTCACTCTCATTGTTGTCGTGTCGCATATTTAAAGGCCGTCGGAAGGGACAACTGACCAACTCAACGGGAGAGTTATTGACCTGAAAAATTCGGACATTGGATTTATTGTCGTGGAGGCGATGTCTCACGAGAAGATTTTTCGTTGTCAAAGTGCGACATTTCAGGGGCTGGGGCCCGACGCGAGAACCACATTTCACCTCGATGGTGCTACTTATCAAATTGGTAAAACAAACACGACGCTTTTTCTCTCTTTTCTCTCTCTCTCTAATACTCATCACTCTTGCTTACATTTGCCAACTCTGAAATAATATTGGCTCGTCGCGGATGACGAGTGACGACGGAGGGTGGTGGTAGTTGACTTGATGATATTGCATATTCGTCCTCCTCGTACACACGTAGCTATTGGTGGTTAGTCGTTGAGGAGGTGAGGTGAGGGCACATGGAGGAACATGCATGCAGGAGAGGAGGATGATAAGTAAACCCACCGAGGCAAAGTGGATAAAAAGTAGCTGCCACCAAACAATCCGTAGTATCTAATAGTGCAAGTAGTCGTCGAAGGTAAATACATTTGACAGTCAACATCGCATTAAATCGATATCCGAGAGAGAGAGGAAGAGGTGGCAGCAGTATTTCTGTATCATTATCGACTCTCACTCGCTAGGCTCCTCTCTCGGGCCGGGTGTTTGCTACTTATCATCACTTTTCACAACCATCGCTCGCACCATATAGGCAGCAGGACTCATCAGGAGCGAGGAGTTCACTTCCTCGTCCTCGCACTCCCAACACGGGTGACGAGGAAGATTGCGGACACTAACTTATTATGCATCACGATGCACACAGTCATCACTTCGGATATGTCTTTTCTCCCCTCCTCGACCTCAGATATCTTGCGGAATTACATAGTTCCAAGAGTAGTTCACTCCAATCATCGTGGCATCACCCTGAAGATAATGATGTAGATGAATATCTGGGCGAAAGTAGAGTGTGGGCGACATGGACGGCGAGAAGCTCGGTTGTTCATAATTGGGTTAAATATGTTGGATGCTGCGGGCGACACAAGAGCTGTCAAGAAGTGTTGATTTCATTTATGATTTTGTCCATCTTTAGCATGAGCACTGTTACATTCTCCTCGTATATATTCCTTCCATCCTTTGCTTTCTCATTTACTTTTGCACGGATTGGGGGATTTTGAACATCTTTTTTTGCTCCAGCCTCTCAAGTCGACAAATGTACGCACGTACGAACTTGTACCCACCCAGCCACTTCCATCTTGGAGCGACACATCGCCTAATAAATGTAACAATAAGCTTGCTAGCGTATTTCGTTAGTGACTTGCTTCAGTATTGTGATTTAAATTGCTTTCCTCTAGCAGCCCACTTTCTTCTGCCTACACACTTCCGCCGTTTTAGACGTCGAGCTTCCCCTCCGTTGTCCTCCTCAATTTTGTGCTTCATTCAGACCCCCAATGTCCCAATGTATTTGTGTACAGCCATGCACCCTGTTTGAGTTGTCAATGTGCAATCAATATTTTTTAGACTAAATCCCAAGCAGCACTAATTGAGAACATCCCAGGCAAGCAGCTGCTTGCTGACGCAATTAAGGATGTTGTTGTCCTGAGTGAAATTTATGGCTTCAACGTGCATGGAAAATTGGCGACATTCATTTTCCTCACTGCTCTTTCTTTACAAATGAAATACGCAGGAGTAGGAAAAGTCTCGCACCCAAGGATGGTCGTAAATCCACCTTTGTTGATCAGCGTGCCTCCACGCGAATTAATTTAGCGGTTAAATAAGCCAATACATGTGGGTTACGTATTGATGAATTATTTTGTGGGCTGGCTGGTGGGTCAGAAACCCAACAATAATGCGTCGTCTTGCACGAGCCGTTAGTATAATTGGTTGTTTGTTTGTTTGGTCAACAAAGTGTCTCAGCGAGTCAGTCTTGGTTGGTGCAGAGCGAGGCTTTGCGACTGCCTGGGAGGAATTAAGTCGGGCGAAAGGCAGGAGGAGTGCATTAAAGCATTAATTAGAATTGATGGATATAGGGTTGACACCATCAGATAATGAGTCGCCGTGACGCAGTTGTGTGGAAAGCCAGAGTCCATAAGTACTGGGATAATCGGCTGATTGTGATAATTTGAGACCTCTCCTCCTTCTCCCGGTGAGCAGGGCTGATGAGCAGAGGAGGAGGGAGTGTCGTCGTCGGCGGCGTCGTTGCTAAATGTTTCTTTCATTAGATTAAAAATCCATGGAGCGGTCGTAGGAATTGCACCCTATTCGCTTTACAACGGGCGTCTCCGCCCCATTTATTCGCACACTGCTGAACCGTGGAGGATCACGACTGCTGCCGCTGGGGTCTTCCTCCTCTGACGCTCTAAACAGGGCCATCCCGCTGAGCCGTTTATCAAGCTGACAAAGTATTTCTCTCCTCTTTCCCAGAAATTGCATAGACTTATCTTCCCACCCTCCAAATTTGGGATGCAAGATTTATCGCTATAGCTTTCAGCTCCGGTTGGCATCACTTTGTTTTCTACACACTGCTCCTGGCTCTGGCTCTGGCTCGGATAATAATGCGAGGCAACAAGGGTGCTAAGCTTTTTAAAGTCGATGAGTTTGCATGCATCCATTCCCCGAAACTCATCCATTGACAATCTCCCGTCCACAATTCTCGAGCCGAGAGAAATCCATTCACCCATCCCACTCATGCAGCAGATAAGTACGTTCGTATGTGCATCTCGACTACATTTTCCTCTTTTGTGGATCTTCTAAATTTAATTTAATCGAGCATCAGTGATGCTGAGCATATACATAAAGTACGTAGCACAGCAGAGTAGATCAGTATACGGATGCTCGTGATCATCCACCCACCAAGAGAGGACGGCGAAGTTAAAAAATTGGGGATCATGGAATTAGAAATATGCAGTGTCAGTATCGTCGTCCTCGTCGGAGCAAGTCAAGTGCTGGCTTTCCTTTCACAGGATGAATGTCCATTATTTTTCAATGCTAATTAATTATTGCCTTATTTTGGGGGATAGATGGAAGTTGAAGTGTGAACGGAGCCTCCGAGACCAAGCTAAGTTTTCCTATTTTATCGGCTGGGTGATGGAATTAGTGAGGAACAAGTTGACTAATTTGTGGGGTTCATGGAAAACTGGCATCATGCAGTACGGGATGCTTTCAGATGAAGGTATTGAAATCACATCCACACAATATTCCGCAGCAGCATCCGCAGCAAGCAGCAGATATATTTATCGTGTATTTTATTCGTAGTCGTTCGTATAGCTTAACCCGACCAGTAATATCCTCAACCGACGTTTTACAACGCCCTGATCCATTTCCTTTCACAAACACAACCATCCTCGCATTTTGTCTTTTTGTCACTCCATCCACAACATTTTTAAGCAACTTTTGACTAGCCCATCGTCACGATAATCTGCACAGACACGTTTGTGCAGGTGGATTTTTTTAAAGAAAACTTCGCAACCGAGGCTGACTAACAATTTGCTGAATGCTTTTACTTATAAACCTGTACCACTAAATAATTCGGCTCTCACAACGGCTGGAAGTTTGTTGAGGATCTAACCGCTTTTCCAGCAAAATTGCTCATTTATTGGAGAATGGCTTAAGAATTGAGAGCTTGGGGGAAAAGATGAAATGAAACTCAATTCCGTAGTAATTAGTAAGTTTGGTTATTACTGCCAGCCAAGTCGGAATGGTGAAGCGTTGCTCTCTACGCAGCTCGTTATTGTTCCTACGTGAAGTGATGACGATGAGTGAAAGCATGTGCACATTAGATATTGGTCTGCTCGATCCTTAATTATTGGCGTTGGCAAATAGTGGAAGAGAGAGATAATTTTTGTGGCCCACGTACATGCTAGAAAATCCCCTCAGCACCAACAACACCACTTGAGCTCAAGTTGGCCAACTAAAACCAAGTATGTAGAGCTCTGGTAGTTGTACATATTATCTGTGTGCGTGTGTTTAGTAGTGCTCTGCAGCTCTCTAATGCAAATGCGTTGCGCAATAATCAATTACACACCTGAGTCCGTCGGCAATAACGTTGGTGGTGGTGGTCAAATCACTCTCTCACCAAATTTCAAACGCCCACTTTCACAGGCTCAATTATGTAATATTGTTCAAATTCTAGTCTTTAAAACCGTATGGATCTGCATTTCGCCTAGTTTTTATCGTTTTTTGCTTGTTTGACACACAGATTAGCTATGTAACTGGAGGCACGCACAGCCGCAGCCAGCCAGACATACACACATGTACTTATCTAGTCCCTTATAGTTGCGATCCATGGTTGTTAACATGCTTTGTTGTGAACTTGTTTCAGTTCCCAACGATGAGCGGACGAATGGTGTGAAGATCCTCCGCAAGAAAGGTGAGCAGATTGTTTGCATAATTATTCAAAAAGTGTCCCATAGTTGAACTGGCATTAAATATGAGGGTCTGATTGGCTTTGCAGACTCGCCGGTGGACCTGAGCACGGAACTCACCGCCGTCACGAACCGAGCTGTAATCGCAAGGCTGAAACTGATCCTCGAGAAGTTGGACAATGGGCAACACGAGGCCAGTTTTTAAAAAAACATCGCTCAAGTTGACACTGACGGGAGGGAGGCAATATTGATGTTATTTTCGTTTCTTCTTGTGCGTTGCAGGCCATCTCACCTGAAGTGCTTCGGAGAAACATTCTCTACGCTGTGACAGTCATCCAGGGCGGCGATCCTGTTCTCGACAGGTCAGGCCGGGGTTTTCTTAACATTTACATTATTCCCATTGTCCCATTGTGGCAAAAACCTGTAATAATAACAGACAATCATCCTTCTCCGTCTCTCTTTGTGTCCTCTAATAAAAAATGACGCCGCGCATTCCGTAAATAAACATGGAGACGAGTCTATAATATGCTCTCCTTTTGAGTGCATCAGAATGTCCATGGGTTACGAAAGGGGAGGCCTTCAGAGAGAATGAGAGAACTCTTTCGGACAGGACACAATGTCATGCTGTCAACCTTCCGAATTTAAGTAGTGTTCCAGACCATAAATCAATACAAGATGAGGACACCATCACAAAGGAGAAAAGGACAGCAGAGGTTGAACTTTGAGACAAAACTGACATGAGTTTGTACACGGGAAAGTGGTTGAGTACAAATAAGTGTGTTATGTCGCTCATAGGTAGGCATTCAAACTTTCGCTCAACAAGACGTGAAAGTTTCCGTCGGCAAATGCTCCTTGGCAGGACAAGCCTGAGAAATTGTATATACGGTCACAACTACATACTTGCACATAGAGGCCCAACCATTAACTAACTCTACGTAACTGCACATGTATCGCAGCAATAGCACATTGCCCCTCCATTCTAGTGCTGTTCATGTCTCATTCATCGTCTCAGAGAGAGAGAGAGTCAATACTGCTCAATAGCTCTCAATAGTTTCACTCACCACCCGTCCCACAATGGGACTTGAGTGGAAATATGAGATAATTCTCCGCATAGCACGAGAGCAGATACACAGGCACACTCTGCTTGAGTGGAATTCCAGGAAAGCAAAAATACTTTTCAGTGATTGATAGGGTAAAAAGTTGGGCAAAAAAATCCACCACGCGATCAAATATCGGAAACTTTAGAACACGGGCTGATTAATTATTTCCTCAAACTCCATTTTTATTCGATACACGTAATCGCGACTTTTCCTCTCGTTAGCAAAATAAGCAGAGGAGAGAGAAGTTCAGGTTTCGTTTTTTGCGTGCATTCCGCAAACTCATCGTCGTCGTCGTCGGTGGTGGTGGTGTAAAGCTGGGAAGGAAAATAGGGAATCGATTGCATTTGCGGTTGTATTTGTCGTAGAAGAACCCTATTTATAATTTACATAATTATTGGCTTACAACCACCACGGACTGTGCATGGATAGCATAGTGTCCACATTGCATACGTATATCTACCATCAGTCGACTTGTGTAAACTATGTATTTCTCATGGTTCATTTCATGTCCACCAACTTTAACTAACGTTCGAATTTCAGAACTCAAACAATCCTACGTTTCATGTTTCTTCGCAGTTGGTCACATTTATGAGCTCGTCTTCCATCCTGCACTCCAGCAACGTCGCAGGCAGGGCTTATTGCTGGTCAATATTTACGAATTATCCATCAAGTCGAGTCAGGCAGTGAAGGCAGTTGAAGAAATTTCACAGCGCACTTTTATTCACTTGTCATGTTCAACGACTTCAACTGCAGGAGTGCTGAATAAATTAGGCCCGAGAATCAAAACCCATTTGCATACATGGACGACCGTACGGGGCGTGGCCAATTTATTATAAAATTAGAGGAGAATAGCCAGCATTTAATATTTATGCGGAATCATTCAGCCCCATCCAACTTGGCAAATTGCCATAATATTCGATATCTCATGAACAACAAATGGTTGCATAACATATGTGCACGGGTAGAGGAAAATCAATCGTTTACATTTTTTGCAAACATAATTCGAGGAGAAAGGCATATCGGCAGAAAAATTCTAATAATACTGCCGACGGAATAACCAGCTAGCTTGTAGAAAACAAAAATAATTCAGCCGTGTCGACGTAGTATTTATACATCGATGTAATTGTGAGTCAGTAATTACTAATTACTAATTGTACTAATGACAACGCTGCCTCGTCGTGGTGCATATAGCACAAAATGCGTCTACATATTTGTCATTAAATATCCTTCCCCAAATTTGTAGTCTGCTCTTGAGTGTAACTTTTAGAATGTAACAATGTGAACTGTTGTGCTGTTGGTCCAGGAGGTCATCGTCAGAGGAGGCTGAGAACGACACTCTAGCCCCCCTGCCCATTCTAACCGTTCAGCCCCCACCACCCACCTCACCTTCAGAACAAGAACATCCGCCAGAACCACTTCTTCTCCTTAACCCCGACTCGCCACCATCAACAGACCATGACAGTGACACACTACAAGAACAACAACCACTCCTCGTGGTGGACACTGCGGGGTCCAACAGGTTCCATTCTCATATTTCACTCAAATTAGCCGTTTCAACCCACACCCATCCTCCGCCATATACCTTCACCTCCACCAGACCTGCAACCCACATTTTGCATCTCCCCCCTCTTTTGACTTTTCAACATTTCCACATTTCCCCACATTTTTAACTCGTACATTTTTCAGTACTTACCCAAAACGCTATCCCATTAACTCAACAAATCTATTTCAACTAAGTGACTAGTCGTAGAACAATAGAATATGCATGTAGTACGTAACTGCTTTTACAGTGTACTCGTCCCACGCTTCCTCCACCCAAGCTAAACCGTACATGATTGATGATGATGATGATGATGATCCATCCTTAATCTTTAATCCCCCTGCTCGCTATTGGCGTATGCAAATTAAATGAGTGTGTGCTTAAGATATTACGCGAGCATGATTTGTGTGTCTCTTTTGCCTTTGTTGTGTCGTGTTGTGTCCTACGACGAAGACGTCAATGGGACAGACAGCGTCAAGTCGAGCGAAAGTGTGTCCATCAGAGAAAGGGTTCCTGAGCTGCTCGGCAAACATAATTCATTTAACGTGTTCTTGATGGATCCAATCCAGGCCATAATCCTCCGTCCGTCAATATTCTCCACTTTTTCTCCCGACAATATTTCACCTTTGGGAGCAGCACAGGGGTGCTCGCTGCTGGCTCTTTCTTTCATATCGGTCCGCTCCTCAGGCAAGCCAAATTTCAAGTCGTCGTACGGACGGGAGCCCGATGAGTATTGATTCGGTTTTAATTAGACCACGGGACAGCACATGCATGTGAGGAACAAGACGTAGGCACTCCAGCACCAGTGGCTTCAAAATGCTCCGAATCAATAAAGAAATTTCGTACTTTGAGAGGGATTTGACCCCAACTAATTAATTACCAGGTGTGCCGTAGCTTAAATAAATGCTCGCCAATTAGACTTCATGCTCTCTTGGACATTGAACATTTATTTATATTTGTACTGGACTTGATATTGTTCTCCCCACTCAAAATTTTTGAAACGGGGTAGACTCTAAATAGGAGCAGGGTAACAGTGTTCTCTCTTCTTGTCGAGATTACATATACGATTTTGAACAGATTAAAAAATTCCAATTAAAGTTCCAATTTATTTCTTGTCTCGTCTCGTAATAATCATTTCCAGAAACCACGTCACTTTTGCCTCTTTCCTTCAAAGGAATACTTTCCCAGCCCAGCGTTAATTTATTTTTACTCGAACGCGGCTGATGATGATGATGATGTTTTTAATTAGGAGATTTCCAGTCTTCCAGGAATTTCTGAGCGCAGGAATGAGTAAAAAAAAGTGGAGTTGCATTGTCGCAGCCCCATAAAAGCACAAGGCTTCATTCACACCTCGTAAAATTCTTAAATGGTCCTCGGTTTGTCGAAATGGCGAAGCTCTGTTTGTTTCAAATGTGGAGAAAGGATGATCACGGTTTGATGCGAGTCAAGTCAGCATCAAGTCTGCGGTGGTGTGAATCCACTCTACCGTCAACTGTTTTTGATGGTTGCAACGACCATTAGCTTTGTCGTGAAAGTTATTGCGCTTTGAAATGGTTCTTCCCGACAGTAATCTGAAATTATGGGAACAGATGCTGTCTAAATTTGAGAGGAAATTTGAAAGAATTTTTTGAAAAGTGGAAATAATTGTTTCCGTACAATTTTTCCATTCGTGCCATGACGCACAATAATTTCTCGAAAACTATACAAATTCTCAGAAATGATTAATTGGCTACAAATTGTGATGTTGAGGTTGATCATACGCTTGTTGGATTTGCGGAGGAGGGCAGCGCGTTCTTTGCCAAAACCTGTACATGCATCTATGTATGCATATGCTGTTTAATTAATCGCGTGTTTCTCAGCCCATTCATCATTCCTCCTCGACACACATTTCACATTGCGCACTTGTTGCAAAGAGAAAGCTCAAAAAACATGGTGCAGTGCAAACGTGTAATTTGCATTACTACAAACGTCTTTGTTTTTTGTGCATACAAATTTGGACACATATTTTGCATTGTTACAAGCAGTTTACAACTTACAAAGGTAGGTTGGTTTCCAGTGCTCATAATTTCCCGTCGAAACGTGCGATAGAATCTTGAGGAACGGGTGTAACCGATCCACGTCAGCCCTGCTTAGTGGTCGTCTCGCCACCGCAATCATAACAAACAGGATGAGGCTCGCATGAAGCAGTGAAACTTTAAATAAACAATAGTTTCGGAAGACTGAGTCATGCGGCGGTGGTTTGCTGGCTGCTGGATGACGCTGAATATTGCAAGTTTCCATTCATTACGATTCCACTGCATAAATTATGCTTTCGTTCGTTCCATGGAAGACATGACTTTCTCCAGAGGTCGGTCGTGGGTGTGGACGACGCTGCAGGAATTAAGGAAGGGGAACCTTGATGTTGATCGTGCTGTTTTCAGCAAGACACGACCAACCACCACCGCCAACCGTGTTATTACTCTTGAAGAGTCTAAAATTCAAAACTAATTGGGAGACGTAGAGTGTCATTAGTCACGCCACACGACACGTACCTAACTACATAATTATGCACATAGGAGAAGGACATATTCGAACAATGTAATGCGTGGGGCAGCCCAGAGGGATTTTTTTTCGCTTCACAACTTGTACGTACCATCATTTGCGAAGACTGTGCGTACATCGTCCACTATTGTTTCACGTTTTTCCGGATTCTGACATTGTGTGGAGCAGGAATAAGCTGTCGTATTATGAACAATATGATGCAATATAATGCCGCATTATCGTGGAACTGCCATTTTTGCCATTGAAAGTTACACCCTGTGCAACCCTTCCTGTCGTAAAGCGAGGGGAGCACGGTGGTTCTGGCCGGGAGGAGGGAAAGTTATGGGCGAAATCAAAGAGAATGGACCATATGTTTTTTACGAGATTTTCCCCCATTACGACCAAACACCAAAGTAACATGATTCCCTTATTTTTCACTTTGACTCCCACCGTCGTCGTCAACCATGAACCATCACTTTCAGAAGCAGCCTCCTCCATCCAAAGTCGAAATCCATCTCGCCCGTCACCCGTCAAATGCATAATGCATCCAACCTACTCCACTTCTCCTCAGCCAGCCTCCCATCCAAACTCTGTATCCATCTCCGCAGTTTCTTTTAATTTCATCCATTCCTGCTCCTCCGATAAGTACAAAGTCGGAGGAGCACTTGGATTCCTCTGTCAGACGGATTTGCTTTCCCACCAGCAGCAGCATCACAAATTGAACTTGTAAGTCTTTTATTAGTCCGAACTAGGAAGTGTCATCCGCTAATGCGGGACGAAGAGAGGACGAGATTGCTGAAAATGAGGTTGCATAATGATCCCACTGCTCGGCTGCCGAGTGAGTGAGCCAGTTGTTTACTTGTTGATGTTTGGTGAGAGAGGATAATAATAATCCCACTTGATGGTTATCATCATCCAGGGAGCAGGAGAAAATTATCTCCCGACACAACCCACCACCACCACCTTCACACACTCTCATTAGAATTCTGAGCATGATCTTCATAAAAATGTAAATTGTCTCCGACGACATCACCGTCATCAAGCAAGCAACAAGGAGGACGGCAACGGGCGACTGGCTCTTTCTCACTTTCACCACTTTCTCTCAAAATCCACTCCTCTTTCTCTCCTGACTCCTCAAGCGACTTATTATTTTGGCCCAACTCCCAATGAATGAATTTCGCTTAATCCTCCCTTTCTCTCTCATCCTCTCCCTGCCTTCTGGCCCCTCTGCCTCCTCCATGCTCGGCTGCCCTCACCGGATCACCAAGCCAAGGAGAAAGCAATTCAATGAATTTTCTTAACTATAACCAATAAGCCGTCCTTAGTCGACTTTGACTGCGAGCAAAGGTTGAAAGTTTACTTGGTTCGTCGATTGACGCGTATTTAGAAAGTGTGCCTGGTTGTGAAGCATTGCGAGAAGAGGTGAACCATTTACGTCATTTATCTTCGAGTGAAATTAATATTCTTTCATTCTACGAACGAACGGAGGGGCTCGAACGTACGGGAGATAGGGTGTAACCTGGGGAAAGTTGATCCGATCCAATGGATTTTGGCCATTACGATGATAATGCACTTTGTGAATGTATATAGTACTGCATGGTGTGTGTTAGGTTGGAGGATGGAGTGAGAATAATAATAAGTGGACGACCAGTATCACGACATGTAAACAACCATAAGCAGTAATCTGACCAAACCCACACACACGCGGAGACACGACGGAGGTTAAAAGCATTTCCTCCACTTGTTCACTTTCACTCGCAGCCAGCCGCCGCTATCAGAGACCAGACACGTGTTACAACCTTCATGCATTTGCGGTCTTGTTAGAACATCAAGGAAAAATGCCGAGCTTGCTTTCACTCCGGTCACCACCCACCCACACACGCAGACAAATGTGGACTTTGCGCGACATCCTCGTCGATCCCATATCATTCTGCTGCTGTATAGCGACAAAGTAAAAACAAATGCGCCCGTGTCACTCGATTATTATCAGGAGCACACAAGGAGAGCTCCGAACCCTCGGCGGCACGGAGGCTGACAAGTTCACAAAGTAGAGAAAGGAGGACGAAGTGAGGGTCGAGTCAATGTGCCGTGTCATGTCATGTCATAATAATAATAATGTTGGTGTCAACTCCGTCCAGCTTCCTTCACTCCCAGCCCTGCCATGCAACGAACCAAACAAGTATTGCGCAGTGACCCGAAACCCCATTACGGATAGATGGATGGCTGCATGGATAGATAGTTAATGGACAGATTTGCTCCAGCAGTAAATACGGAGAAACAACTTTATTCTCCTCCAAAAGTAAGTACATAGTCCTTGTGTCGACTGGCGATGAGCATGACATTTCGAGCATGCAAGGCTAACTAACAGTGGTTACGATGACGCAAATCTTAACCGTCTCCTTATTCGCATCATTAGAAAATCCAGGCCTTCTTCTTCTCTGGTTTGGTAATTGTGCGGA